AGGAGTCGTATTCCGGAACTCGTCTGGCTTATGGAGGTCCACGGAGTATTCAGGAGGCTGCTAAGAGGAGTCGTCGCAAGGCCAGGCTAGCAGCCCGAGTCCCAGCAGCCATGGTTCCGGCTCCAGTACAGGCCCCAACAGCCATGGTTCCGGCTCCAGTGCCGGACCCAGCAGCCATGCCTCCATGCTCCAGTACCGGCCCACGCAGCTTTGCGTCCATACTGGATTACCTGGCTTACACAGCCAGGGTCAAGGCTTCCGCGCCGGACCCAGCAGCCATGATTCTGGCTTCAATTCCGGCTCCAGAACCGGACCTTACAGCCATGTTTCCGGCTCCAGAACCGGACCTTACAGCCATGATTCCGGCTCCAGAGCCGGACCTTACAGCCATGTTTCCGGCTCCAGAACCGGACCTTACAGCCATGATTCCGGCTCCAGAGCCGGACCTTACAGCCATGTTTCCGGCTCCAGAACCGGACCTTACAGCCATGATTCTGGCTTAAATTCCGGCCCCCGCAGCCATGGTTCCGGCCCCAGCAGCCATGGTTCCGGCTTCAGTACCGGCCCCGGAAGCCATGGGCTCGACTCCAGTTTCGGCTACAGGGCTGGCTCCCCAGCCGACGCCAGCTCCCCGAGTCTTGTCGGCGTACCGGCCGACTCCAACACCTCGTCTCCTGCTGGCTCCCCAGCCGACGCCAGCTCCCCGAGACTTGTCGGCGTACCGGCCGACTCCAGCACCTCGTCTCCTGCTGGCTCCCCAGCCGACGCGAGCTCCCCGAGTCTTATCGGCGTACCTGCCGACTCCAGCACCTCGTCTCCTGCTGGCTCCCCAGACGACGCCAGCTCCCCGTGTCCTGTCAGCGTACCGACCGACTCATGTCCCCTCTCCAGTTCCTACCCGAGTCCCCTCTCCAGTTCCTACCCGAGTCCCCTCTCGAGTCCCCTCCCGAGTCCCCTCTCGAGTCCCCTCTCGAGTCCTCTCTCGAGTTCCCTCTCGGGTCTCCTCTCCAGTTCCCTCTCCAGGTCCCTCTCAGGTCCCCTCTCGAGTCCCTTCTCGAGTCCCCTCTCTAGTCACCTCTCAAGTTCCTACCAGAGTCCCCTCTCGAGTCCCCTCTCGAGTCCCCTCTCCAGTCCCCTCTCGAGTCCCCTCTCCAGTCCCCTCTTCAGTCCCCTCTTCAGTCCCCTCTCCAGTTCCCTCTCGAGTTCCCTCCTTTAGTCCCTCCTCTAGTCCCTCCTTTAGTCCCTCCTCTAGTCCCTCCTTTAGTCCCTCCTCTAGTCCCTCCTCTAGTCCCTCCTTTAGTCCCCTCTCTAGTCCTTCCTCGAGTCCCCTCTCTAGTTCCCCTCGCGAGCCCCCTCTCGAGTTCCCTTCTCTAGTTCCTCCTCTAGTCCCTCCTCTAGTCCCCTCTCTAGTTCCCCTCTCGAGTCTCCTCTGAAGTCCCCTCTCGAGTCCCCTCTCGAGTTCCCTCTTGGTTCCCCTCTCGAGTCTCCTCTCGAGTCTCCTCTCGAGTCCCCTCTCGAGTCACGTCTCGAGTTCCCCCTTGGTTCCCCTCTCGAGTCTCCTCTCGAGTCCCCTCTCGAGTCACGTCTCAAGTCCCTACCCAATGTCCTGGTCCGTTGGAGGTTCCGCTGGGGGTCCTGCCAACTCCATGTCCTGTCCCGTTGGAGGCCCCGTCGACTACTCCTCTGCCGAGGGTCCTACCAATCGTATGTCTGTCCCGTTGGAGGTCCCGCCGTCTACTCTCCTGCCGGGGGTCCTGCCAGCTCCTTGTCCTGTCTCGTTGGAGGTCCCGCCGACTACTCTCCTGCGGGGGTCCTGCCAATCCTATGTCCTGTGCCATTGGAGGCCCTGCCGACTGCTCTCCTGCCGGGGGTCCTGCAAATCCCGTGTCCTGGTCCTCTTCCGTGGGGGATCCTGCCGAGGCCTGTCCCACCAGCTCCGACACCGGGTCCTGCCCGGCCTCCGGCACTGTCCCGTCAGCGCCTTCCTGCCCGGCCTCCGGAGCTCTCTGGTCTTCGCCCTCGAGCCCGGCCCCCTGAGAGCCCGGCCCCCTGAGAGCCGCGGTCTTCGCCCTCGACCCCGGCCCTCTGTGAGCCGTGGTCTTCGCCCGCGATCCCAGCCCCCTGACTCTTCCTGCCGCTGCCTTCGCCCTCATGCTCGGCCGCCCGAGTCCCCCACCTTAGACTCTGCCTTGCCCCCGGGCCGTCCGCCCGAGATCCCTTCCTGGTCCTCTGCTGTGCTCCTGGGTTGTCAGCCCAGACCCGTCCTCCAGACCCCCTCCACCCACCCTAGTGGCCCTAGTTTTGTGTCCCTCCTCCGGTCCCCCTCCACCCACCCTGCTGGACATTGTTTTTGTTTTTTTTGGTGTTTTAGGGACGTCTGGAATCCGTCCCTTGAGGGGGGGGGGGGGGGGGGGGGGGGGGGTACTGTCACGATCTTCCTGTATTGTATTTTGTCTTGTCTTGTTTCATGTTTTATCTTGAAAGGTCTTCACTTCCTATCTTGCCTGTTTCTGTCTGCGTAGTGTCTTGTTTAAATCTGTCTGTGGTTCCCTGTGTTAGTTTCCCTGGTGTGTCTAATTTACCCGATTGTGTTCACCTGGTGTCCCTGTGTTTTCTCCTCCCTCCTCACCTGTGTCTTGTTTCTGTGATTAGTCTTGTGTGTATTTAAGTTCTGGTTTTTCTGTCTGTCTTTGTCGGTTCGTCTTGTGTCATGACTAGTTCGTCGGTGAGTGTTCTGTTTTGTCTTTGTTGTTCACCTAGCCTTGAAATAAAGGAATTCTCACTTTAATCTGCATTTGGGTCCTACCTGCTTCACACACCGTGACAAAAATGATGATGGTAGGAATGATTTATGAACATTATTAATGACAACAACAGGCCGCTCTGAAGACCTCAGATTCAAATCTTTTCACACATTATGTGATTCTATTTGCCAAACAAAGCAACTAGAGTGAAAGATATGTGCGCTTACTTTATAACAATAGGAGCAGATACGATCTTTACAGGCTTTATGAGGGAGCTGTTTGAGGTTGATGTCGCGCATAAAAACTAACCAACCCCACACGTGCTATTAATTCATTATGAAAATGTAAAGCAATTTGGACAGAGCTCATTTATTCTGCACCAGCCTTCAGTCTCTCTTTAATTATCCCATTATGGTCACAGTGCCCCATCTATCTTGTTCACCCCCCCCTCCAAAAGTATGTGGACACGTGAGGATATATTGATTATGAAACAGGTCGTTACAAACACAAGAGCATTTTATAAAAGTGCTGGTCCTTCATTATGACTTGCTGTTCTTAAAACCATGAAAAAAACTCTGTAACCACGAGCAGATCAATATAGAATCACTGAACCTTATATACCTAGTGGTTGGAAGATAACAATATAAAGTACTTAGGGACATCTTAAACTACATTCTCCTGAACACTAGGTGGCAGTATGCATCTCATGAGGATTTATTTCCCATATTGCATAAAATAATCTCAACGTTTATGATAGTTACGTGTTTAGTTCAGCACGATAATCTCCACATATTAAAGGTGGGTAGGTCATTTTGGAGAAACCAGCTCGAGTGCGCTAGAATTTGAAAATACACAACCGGAAAAAAAATCTTCCACTTCCTCACAGAGCCCCTCCTCCAACACACGACCAATGAGGGCACGAGATGAGTGTGTGCACAGATGGAAGGCTGACAGGCAGGTCGGCAGGGACGTGCACAGGTACAGGCTAATGTTGCCCGGACAACAACCCGTTTGGCCTTTTTGTCTGACCTGCCCCTCTGGAGGGAGCGAGAGTTTTGTTTAGTTTTCTGTTGTGGCCGAATAAACATGATAAGCCCACAATCAGTATTCTAGTATGCTCGCTCTCTTTTCTTGATCGCCCTCTCACAGGGGTTCACTTCATTGTAGGATTTCTGCCATGTCTCTACTTTAGTTTGTCCATCTCTGTTATTAAGTTATGGAATACTAAATAAATAAGTAATTAGATACCTTGCCGTTACTGCGCTCATAAAAAAAGACAATAATAAGAATAATGCGTATTGAACTGGTTTCATTCATTAGTGAGAAGCCCTATTTTATCAGTATGTCAGCACAGCAGTTACAATGGTCAAGCTACATTGAATTGTCCCCATTTCTTCTATAATAGTTCCTAACATTAGATATTTTAATGAGATATGGACCGCAAAACAAAAAATGTCCCTGGTTTTAATTTTTATAAATCAAATCACCGAATGCAAGTAGTTGATTTTGAGTAGGTGATTTTGTTATGATATGATGACTGTTCAAATTAGCTCATGTAATAATTGTTTTGGTCTTATATTTATTTTCGGGGGGAGGCCCTTCAATAGCCCCTCCAAATGTCTGTGCACGTCCCTGCAGGTAGGCCATCCAGTTACTTTAGCCGGGCCGGCTCAGATGATTGGTCGTGCTTTTTACAGCACTACGGCTTCCACAGATGACTTTTTGTCAAAGCACTTCAGATATTCATGGCTATCGGGATGTTAAGAGCATTCCATGGAATATAACAAGTGTATCTCGAGCCGTACCCCACCTTTAAGAGCACTTGTTTCATGGTTTTCGGACTCATAAGGCTAACTCATGTCAGGGTTTGAGGACTCATTCCTGCACCACTCTATTACTTTACACAATAACGGAGATCCAGATAGTTGTAATGTTTTCGACTAAAAGCAATTCATCGTTTCTTCTCTAATCCTCAGCATTCATTTGTATATGATATTATTAAAATATACTCTCTGATATAGCCTACTATCACACACACACACACACACACACACACACACACACACACACACACACACACACACACACACACACACACACACACACACACTCCCCCTCTCTCTCACACACTCCCCCTCTCTCTCTCTCTCTCTCTCTCACACCCTCTGAGTCTCAGCTCTCAGTCAGAGAACCTTTCCTCCTCTCGGTGTCTCGCTCTGTCTCCTCTCGTTCTTCTTCTTCTCGCTGCGTCTTTACGCACGGAGCTCCGGGTTTGGCTTCTCCTCTCTCTCACACACACTCCCCCCCTCTCTCTCCCTCTCTCTGGATATTTCCCTCCCCGGAGTTGGATCTAGAGATGGAGTTTGGGATGGAGGACCAGGATCTCCTCTTCTTCCCGGAGCTCCTCCACCCTAACGGCTCGGAGTCAGAGGTGTTTCCCGGTGACGGCGGAGAGACGGTGCACCTGGTGGTGCGCTGCATCATGACCTCGGTGTACATCCTGATCATCACCGTGGGTTTGCTGGGAAACATCACGCTGGTGAAGATCTTCATCACAAACAGTGCCATGCGTAGCGTGCCCAACATCTTCATCTCCAGCCTCGCGGCGGGGGACCTGCTGCTGCTGCTCACGTGCGTGCCGGTGGACGCCTTCCGGTTCTTCTCCGTGGAGTGGGTGTTTGGAGAGGCCGCGTGCAAACTCATCCCCGTGATCCAGCTCACCTCCGTGGGGGTGTCCGTGTTCACGCTCACCGCTCTAAGCGCAGACAGGTAGGAGCTGAGGGACTCTCTTTACTTTCCAACATCTTTGGATCTGGTGTTTTGCAGACATGTTGGCGCTTCAGCACATTCAACAAAGCACAGCACACTGTGTCTGTTGAAGGAAAACAAAACACCCATCCCCTAAGAACAACTCAGAATTGAGGGACATTATTATACATATTATTATCATTATTGTTATCCGACAGGTGGGATAAGATAAGATTGTATTTAACCTTTATTTAACCAGATGAAAACATTGAGACAAAATCTCATTTACAAAGCTGACCTGGCCAAAAGGCAGCAACGTTACTCGTTCTTACGCACAACACAGACATATGAAACACAGAGAACACAACTAAGAAAACAAAAGAGCAAAAGCAGTCCCTACATTGAGCACATTAGGACAGTAAGAAAGGCACTGCTTATTACAGCAAGAGCAGCTGGAGGTAAGGACCTCAGACAACTTCAATCTAAAACAGGCTATAGAGACAAGTGCCCTCAGTTTGAGGCGTGATTGAAGGTCGTTCCAAGACCAATCAAAAAGACTCCTTTCCCAGCCTCAGTCCGCAGGAACCTGGACCCGTACCCAGGCACTGGGTCTGAGGCTGTGAGAGTCACAAACTGGAGCAGATCTGGCACATATGTAGAGAGGAAGCTTTCCTAAAATGGTTTTATACAATAATAACATATAAGATAAGACAAGACAAGATAAGATAAGAAGTACATTTTTGTTTATAACAATGTCTCTCAGCGCCGACAGGCACTTAAAGCACATCAAACAAAGTACAGAACAATTTGTCTGTTAAAGGAAATAACCCCATCCCCTACCCCACTCATTATACAAAGCATATCAATCACATCATTATACATATTATTATCATTATTGTCTGCAAGCCGTCAGTCACTCCTCACGTGTCCTGTGGTCATCCTGTTAACAAACTGGATTTCACTTCACCGCCGGTGCTCACAGCGAAGATCCCTCCGCCCTGACGGAGGGACGTGAGTTTCAATGCCTTCACCCGCCAGAACAAGGCTGCATGTTTATCAGAGGACGAATACATATGTTTGGATAAGGTGCAGATTTAGAAGCATATACATTCTTTATAAGGTGCATGGTTTAGGCAGATTTAATTAAATACAGATCTAAATATTGCAATATTTACAATAATACTGTGGTATTATTTAAACAAATCTGTTCACTTTTTAATTGTGTTTTTATATTTCTTTAATATAGCTGTCGTTTTAAAAAAAAATGATTTCCTTCTTAGATTATACTCTGTTACAGTAAAAGTACAAGTACTCAGATCTTGTACTTGTAGTAAAAGTACAAGTACTCAGATCTTGTACTTGAGTAAAAGTACAAGTACTCAGATCTTGTTCTTGAGTAAAAGTACAAGTACTCAGATCTTGTACTTGAGTAAAAGTAGAAGTACTCAGATCTTGTACTTGAGTAAAAGTAGAAGTACTCAGATCTTGTACTTGTGTAAAAGTACTCAGATCTTGTACTTGAGTAAAAGTAGAAGTACTCTGATCTTGTACTTGAGTAAAAGTAGAAGTACTCAGATCTTGTACTTGAGTAAAAGTAGAAGTACTCTGATCTTGTACTTGAGTAAAAGTAGAAATACTCTGATCTTGTGCTTGAGTAAAAGTAAAAGTACTCAGATCTTGTACTTGAGTAAAAGTAGAAGTACTCAGATCTTGTACTTGTGTAAAAGTACTCAGATCTTGTACTTGAGTAAAAGTAGAAGTACTCAGATCTTGTTCTTGAGTAAAAGTACAAGTACTCAGATCTTGTACTTGAGTAAAAGTAAAAGTACTCAGATCTTGTACTTGAGTAAAAGTAGAAGTACTCAGATCTTGTACTTGTGTAAAAGTACTCAGATCTTGTACTTGAGTAAAAGTAGAAGTACTCTGATCTTGTACTTGAGTAAAAGTAGAAGTACTCTGATCTTGTACTTGAGTAAAAGTAGAAGTACTCTGATCTTGTACTTGAGTAAAAGTAGAAGTACTCTGATCTTGTACTTGAGTAAAAGTAGAAGTACCAGAGTGTAGGAATACTCTGTTTCAGTAAAAGTCCTGCATTCAAAATGTTCCTCAAGTGAAAGTAGAAAAGTATTCTCATCTAAATATAGTGAAAGACAGTGAAAGTAGTCGTTGTGCAGATTGGTCCATTTCAGAATAATATATATGATATGTTTTATAGTGATTGATCATGAAAGTGTTCTCAAAGCTGGTGAAGGTGCAGCTAGTTTGAAGTACTTTGTATACTGCAGGGTAGCTGGTGGATTTACTCCAGGTGGAACTAAAGTCTGATTCAACACTTGATTAGATTTCACATCATTCATCCACATCTGTGAAGTAACTAAAGGTATTAATACATGTAGTGGAGTAGAAGTACACCATGTACCTCTGAACTGTAGTGGAGTATAAGTACACCATGTACCTCTGAACTGTAGTGGAGTAGAAGTACACCATGTACCTCTGAACTGTAGAGGAGTAGAAGTACACCATGTACCTCTGAACTGTAGAGGAGTAGAAGTACACCATGTACCTCTGAACTGTAGAGGAGTAGAAGTACACCATGTACCTCTGAACTGTAGTGGGGTAGAAGTACACCATGTACCTCTGAACTGTAGAGGAGTAGAAGTACACCATGTACCTCTGAACTGTAGTGGAGTAGAAGTACACCATGTACCTCTGAACTGTAGTGGAGTAGAAGTACACCATGTACCTCTGAACTGTAGTGGAGTATAAGTACACCATGTACCTCTGAACTGTAGTGGAGTAGAAGTACACCATGTACCTCTGAACTGTAGAGGAGTAGAAGTACACCATGTACCTCTGAACTGTAGTGGAGTAGAAGTACACCATGTACCTCTGAACTGTAGTGGAGTAGAAGTACACCATGTACCTCTGAACTGTAGAGGAGTAGAAGTACACCATGTACCTCTGAACTGTAGTGGGGTAGAAGTACACCATGTACCTCTGAACTGTAGAGGAGTAGAAGTACACCATGTACCTCTGAACTGTAGTGGAGTAGAAGTACACCATGTACCTCTGAACTGTAGTGGAGTAGAAGTACACCATGTACCTCTGAACTGTAGTGGAGTAGAAGTACACCATGTACCTCTGAACTGTAGTGGAGTAGAAGTACACCATGTACCTCTGAACTGTAGAGGAGTAGAAGTACACCATGTACCTCTGAACTGTAGAGGAGTAGAAGTACACCATGTACCTCTGAACTGTAGTGGGGGTAGAAGTACACCATGTACCTCTGAACTGTAGAGGAGTAGAAGTACACCATGTACCTCTGAACTGTAGTGGAGTAGAAGTACAACCATGTACCTCTGAACTGTAGTGGAGTAGAAGTACACCATGTACCTCTGAACTGTAGTGGAGTAGAAGTACACCATGTACCTCTGAACTGTAGAGGAGTAGAAGTACACCATGTACCTCTGAACTGTAGAGGAGTAGAAGTACACCATGTACCTCTGAACTGTAGTGGAGTAGAAGTACACCATGTACCTCTGAACTGTAGTGGAGTAGAAGTACACCATGTACCTCTGAACTGTAGTGGAGTAGAAGTACATATGCAGAACATGGAAATACTCAATTAAAGTACAAGTGCCTTCAAATTGTACAAACTGTACAGTGCTTGAGTAAATGTACTTATGTTTCCCCCAAAAGAAGAATAGGCCCCTTAACGTGGTTTTAGAGAAATGATTGGCACATCATTTCGGACATTTCTGGCTTCCTAACTATGAAAGGAAACATATTTCTATCGACTGTCAGCTGCTGTTCGTAGGACCTTCATTTCTGTTTCCTTACGATATCCTGGGATTTACAGAGCCTGTGTGACTGCCTTCAGCTTTGGGGTGTGTTGCTCATATTCTGTGTCAGACGTGAGCAGCATCCTCTCATCTCGTGATGATCGATGAACCTGCCGCTGAAGAATCCAACACATATTTAGTCTCCGAGAGGACGAATGCAGGTTTGAAGTTATTGCAACAGGCGAAACATGCTCAGGATTTAGATTCAGACATGACTGTTGATCAGTGATGAACTTCCCCTGTGCGGCACGGTCACAGCTGCAGAGGCTGATTAGTGGCGCAGGGTTGATTGCTGTTGGATAATAAGGGAGGAAGAGGAGGAGGAGACTGTGGAGGACATTCTTCAGAGAAACTGATAAATGATTCGTGGACAAAGTTTGTATTTTGTGATATTTAATAAAGTAATAAAGAAAGTCAATAATCAAGTGAAATGGATCTGAAATGCAGGAAGAGAGCAGCTTCACCCTCAGAGGAGAGAGAGGTTCTGCTTTCAGTCTCTGTGTGTTCATGAGAGGAACAGCTGCTCCTCCATCCCACCATCAAACAGTCCTTAACCATTTGAATCCACCTTTTACAATTCCTTTGCCTCCTGAAATGTAAACCCTTAACATCTGTCTCTGTTAAACACATACAAGACTAAACATACCATTTCAATGAGAAAAAGGCAATCAGAGTATAAGACTGTGTTTTAAATGATTATGATCATTTGACACGACGAGGACACGAGGAGACAGAGGAGCGAGTGTAGAGGACGGAGATTAAAACAATGTTTTATCAGGATTACTGCAGAGAGACAACAAGAGAGGACAAGAGAGCTGAGTGTAAAGTCACTGTACACTCTGATACAGGTCGGTGTGTGTGTGTGTTTGTTTATATGTATGTGTGGGGACCACCACATTCTTTACGAGGACCAGTTTTGCAAAGCGAGGACATTTTTTGGAAAGTTAGCATGTTTTTCTAAAGGTCCCATGTCATGCTTTTGCGGTTATTACCCCTCCCCTTGTGTTCTGTAGCTTTTTCTGCATGTAAACTCAGAGTGCACCCTGTAGCGAGTACAACTCCAACACAGAAAAGACCTGTCTGCTCAACCCAGTCTCACGGCATTTCGTGTTCACCAACACGATTTGCCCCTTTCTTTCGTGTTGCACAGCACGATTTTAAAAGCAATGTATTTCTACTGCCT